GCCTCTGGGAAGATCCCCCAGTCCACAGGGCTGGGGCTGGAGACCCTGGGTAGTCCCTGTGGCCCCCCACACACTGGCCCAAACACTCACAGAACTCCACCAGCAGGGCTGGGTACTCCTGCAGGGCCAGACCCAGGGTGCGGTGGTTCAACACCAAGACCCCATCCTCCTTGGGGACCTCCTCCCCAGGGGTATCCTCCAGGAGATCCTCTGAGGGTCTCTCAGGTCCCTGTCCCTGTCCCTGTAGGCCTGAGGCCCCCAGCAGGAACAGCAGCAGCACAGGCAGAAGCTGGCCGTCCATGGCAGTGCCGGGCCCCGGAGGTTGGGGTAGATAAGGGGACTGGGGACCAAGCAGCAATCGACACGTAGCACCTGGGCCCTTTCTCAGGGACGATAAAGCTTGAGAGCACCCCCTTGAGGGAGGGGGAGGCATAAAGAGGCCACACGGCGGGCAGCGAGACGACATTTAATGGGGCACAGCGCCAGGCGGGATGCAGGACGGAGAGAGGGCAGGGTCTGGTCACTGACCAGGGGCCAGGGAAAGCTTGGGGTCCCTTGCAGCAGTGGACAGAGGTGGGAACAAGGGCCAGAGCCAGGATTCAGCCCTTCCAGTCCTGGCAGACACGGAGGCCCCACTCCCAGGACAGGTGGGCTGTCTTGTCGTCGTCTGTGAAAAGGGACCTGACAACGTAGGGTCCCCGCACCAGTGCGCCCCTCGGAGCCTCCTCCACTGGAGTCACGAACTCGTACTCCTGAGCCCTGGGGCCATAACTGCCTACCATGTAGACAGCCCTGTCCACTGAGAGAGGGACAGGGTGTCAGGGCTGCCCTCCACCTACCCCACCTCACCCCCACCCGGCCCTCCACACTGGCCTCACCGCGCAGGCCCCTGCGGAAGGTGTGGTGCACACATTTGAGGCCACTGACGATGTCCTTGTTGACCTGTGGGACAGACGGCGTTAAAGGTTCCTCTGGGGCCAGGGCACTGGCCGGCCGGTGCCCCCCACCGCAGCTGCCCTCACCTTGAAGGTAACCTTCACCTGGTAATCAACACCCTCCTTCAGGATGAACGCCTGGCTTTTCAGCGCAGCCAGGTCCCCTGGGAGGGAAATGGCAGGTAAGCTCTAACTCCAGGGCAGGCTCATCCTGCCTCAGGAGCCCCACGTGGGGTGTGGTGCCCTCAGGGTTTCAGGATGGGCCCAGGGACTTGGGATGGGGCACAAGGGTCCTAAGAGGTCTCTGCTCCAGAGACAAATGGTGGTGGTCTGCAGAGGCATTACCTGTGAGGTCCATGGTGATGGGCCCTGGAGCTTGCTCCGAAATCAGCGTCAGCCTGGTCACCTGCACGTTAGGCAGGCTGGGATCTGAGGAGGAGCAATGTCCATAGCATGCCCTGCTGCTCCCCACCCAGGCACAGCCCTCTAGGCCCAGGTTCCAAGCCCATACCCACTACAGGTGGCAGAGTTCCCAGCAGTGCTCTCTTGTACTGGGTGAGGCTCTCGTCCTCAGGGTCCAGCTGCCGGATCTCCAGGGCGCTCTTCTTCCCAGGTGCCTGGTACTCTGGCACAGCATCGTCCAGTGCCTCCTCCAGTGGTGTTGGCCCCCCCTCCTTGTCAGCCAGGAGAACTGGGAGTTGGAGAAGGCATATGAGGTGCTGCCCCCAGCTGACCCTGGCACTGGAGCACCCTGCTGGAGCACCCCCACCTGGCCAGCTGTGCCTCCCACTGCCCAAAGGACTAGGAAGGAGGCAGGTGGTGGAGCTCAGAGGGAGGGTGAACCAGGGAGAGCAGTGAGGGCTCCCAGGGCACAGGCAGCATCCCACCTGCCTCTCCCACAAGAGCCCTGGTGGCTGGAGGAGGCTCCCAAGGCACCTGGCCAAGGGGCATCCTTGGGGCGCCAACTTGCTTCTGGCCAGATGTCCATCCAGGGGCCCTCCCTGACTCGGAGGCCAAACGTGGAGGAATGATGACCCCAAGTGGGGAACCACGGGGCTGGGACTACTGCTAGAGTGGTGGCCCCGGGGCCCTCCAGGGGGTCCCTACCTCTGGGCCCTTCCCATAATGCTCTAGCCCCCACCCATGGAGCCTCCAGACTAGGGTTCTCTGGAGCCCGAGCCCCACCTAGGGGAGAGACCCGTGCCTCCCTGACTTCACACGCGCGCGACCCTGGGCTTCCTTCCCCTTGCTGGTCGCTGGGAATCAAGCCCCCACCCCCGCTGGAGTCAGGCCGGGGCAACGCCAGGAGGTCCCCACGCGCCCCCAAAGTTGCCGCCAGGAAGGCCCACCGCCCACGTGGCCGCCACCCTGCCGGCCAGCCGCTCACCTCGGGCGCAAAGCGCCAGCCGGAGCAGCTCCAGCAGCTGCGCCCCCAGCTCGCACGCGTCCAGGCCCAGCATGGTGGCGCGCGGCCCGACGCGGAGCCGCCGCCCGGCTCGGCTCAGCCCCGGCGCGACTGCGGTGAGCTCATCCCGGCCGGGAGCGCCCCCCGCGCCCAGCGCCGCGCCCGCGCCGCGCGCCCCCAGCCGCTCCGCGGACCCCGCGCAGCCCGC